GGCGGGCGGCCGCCTCGGACCGCTTCTTCTGGGCTTCCATCCACCGAGGCTGCCTTTCGGTGAGCACACGCGGTGCTGCACAAACGGAGGAAGTGAGACTGCAATTTAGAGAGGTTCCATGGGCGACCTCGCTGCAGCCTGGGCACAAGGGTTTCGAAGCAGCATACTTGACTCCCCGCTCCTCTCCAGTTGGCTTCCACTTAGAACTTATTAAATAGGGTCGGTTTCGAGTTGATTTGTCACTGAGCACTAACCCCGAGATCTTTTGGTTTGTGAGTTATTTTATTGATCTGAAGATTCTGTTCTTTGGAATGTGACCCTTTTTGGACCGAGAGCTAATCAGGAAATGCTCACGAGGAGGTTGCTTTGTAATCACCTCGTTGACGTCCTCCACGGGCGCAGCGGACCCTAACCCGGCGCGCCCCTTGCGGTCTCCTAAGCTTTGCCTGGAACCCCTCCGCCTGGATACTTTGCTCGTACAGGCGCCCAGGGAGCTGTCTGTGGTGCTAGGAGAGAGAAACCGAGTGAGCGGAGCGGAGAGAAGAGAAACAAAGAATGCCAGGTTGGCTGAGGTGGTCCGCCCACCAATACTCAGACTAACAGACACCTTCAAAATTCAGCCCGAAGGAGGGGATGAAGAAAGTCCCTCCTGAGTCATCTCATCGTCCTGAGACAGCCAACCTGGTTTTCCAATGCAAGAGGCCAGTGACACTTCCCTTTCTCTGAAAGCGCACACCCCCAATGCCACACATTTATCCCTACTCAGCCATGGGGCTGTTCAGATGTGCCAGAGGTCAGAAGAAAGGAGCACTGGACCCTGGCTATGTGCCCAACTTCAGGGAAAGAAATTGTAAAGAGAAAGGCTGCAACTGGCCAAGGAAGCAGGACTGGACAAAGACCTAGTAGGAGACTCAAGGAGCCTGTTCCAGGGTCCACGGGGTAAGCCCTAAAGAAGTCTGCACTCACTGTTCTTCCCACATCTCTAGACAACTGCCAAGGCACAGAGCAAGCCAGCTTTTCCTCTCCAAGGATCCAGAGCTATGGGGGAAAGACCAATTCCCTTGGAGGCTCACTCCTGCTCCTGACTGTTCTCACCAGTGACAAAAAGTCAATTTTTTTCCAAGTATGTTGACTTCAAGCCGTTTCTGGCTTTTTAGAAAACCAGGCAGCTCTCTTCCAGTATATTTTTGTAACCACGTGGCTTAACAGGAACTAAAGTTTCCCTAGCCCTAGGGAGAGCTTTTCAAAATATTTTTAGAAAGTTAAAAATATAGCAAAACAAACTACTCACAAGCTGCCTGTTTAAAGAGGGAAGGTGGGACTCGGCAGACTTCTGGGGAAGGGCTGCCTAAGCAGGAGTCAGATGGCAGGGAGGGAGGAGGAGGGAAGTCTTGGTTTGAGGGTAAGCAGTTTCATTTGCAACAGAGGAAATCGGCTGTCTAATTTGCCATCTTGTGGGCTTTCATTTTAAGGGGTGGAGCAAAAATAAACTGACACAAGGGTGGTAGGTATATTTGCTGGAGGCATGAAGGCAAGCAGCAATCATTACTTTGCAACTCATTGAAAATTACTGCTTGAGCTAAAACGACTAGCTGCTAGCTGAGGAGTTAACTCATTTCACACTCCCTGCAAATTTGTGCTAGACTTGCTGGGGTTCCAAGAGCTGGTCTTGGGGTGGGCAAATCTCAGAGGCCTTCGTGGGTGTTTAGACTTCACTCTAAAAGAAGTTTGTGTTCCAGTAGCAAGCAAAGATTGCCACAGAAAGACTGTTTTTTGCCAGTCCCCAATTTAATGAAGGAGCAAAACAAATGGTGTGTAGTTGTGGAGTGCCCTTCAGATGCCAGCTGAAGGTGGGAAAAGAAAAGGAGTGCAGCTCCCAGAGACTGCTTTCCTCTGGGCCTTCACAGCTAACTCCAGATCTCCCAAGAGGAGAGACCTATGGCTGTTATCTCATTCATTGCTTTTCAGAAAAGTTGTACTCATCACCTCCTAGCTACTGTCCCCCTCCACTTTGTTGGGCAGGCACGGAGGACAGAAGGACCCATTTTAAAGGACAGGACTGGGTTTACATTTGACTTTCAAGCAGTAGTTTGGCGATATTTGAAGTGAGAGTCACCTGCTGCAGTGCCCTTGGCAGTGATGCTGCAGAAAGAATGAAGAGAAGAAATCCAGGACTCGACTTTTTTCCTGGAACAACCCCCTACCCTCATCATCCAATTTGACAACTTAGATGCAACGGGAAGCAAAATTTAGAAAGAGAATTGGCACTTTCAGCAGCATGGTTGTGGGGGTGGTAATACGACTTTGAAGAAAAGCAAATTTGGGAGGACTCTGGTGAGTCTAGAGTAATTTCTAGTAGCAGTGGAATATGAAGTTCATTAAGAAACATGCCCTGGCTGGTGTAGCTCAGTGAATTGAGCTCGGGCTGTGAACCAAAGGGTCACAAGTCCCATTCCTGGTCAGGGCACAATGGCTGGGTTGAAGGCCAGCTCCCCACAATGGGGTAAGCGAGAGGCAAACACACATTGATGTTTCTCTCCCTTTCTTTCTCCTTCTCTTCCCCTCTCTCTAAAAGTGAATAAGTAAAATCTTTTTTTTTAAGAAACCTTGGTTTCTATAGACACATGCTTCCCCCTGCATTGTCCATCTATGCAGTCCAAGTTCAGCCTTGGCAGTGAAGGGGCAGCACACAGGCTGCTCAGCAGAATGGCTGGTGAGCTACTGGCAGCAGATGGGTGCTAGAGCTTTGTTTATATCTGTATGTTTGTGTGTTTTTCCCGTCTAGGCCTGAGGTCATTTTTTGTAAGGAACCTGGGATGTGTGAACTCCAGGTCCCACTGTGTCGAAGCTGACCAGTCCCAGGACCAGTGCAGACAGAAATTATAGTACTCCCAAGCCTTGGAAAGTACCTTCTTAGACCCAGGCAGACCATTTTGAATTACTTCAACTTGACTGTAAGACCGAGCAGCAGCTAAGATGGAATTAGAAGCGTGCTCCTAAGCTGCTGAGTGCTCCGGCACTGGGCACTCCCCCTAGTCACAGTGACTCCCAGTTTCCAGCTCAGCCCAGCTGCCCGAGTTTACCCCAGCTCAGCAGGAAGAAAAGGAAAAGGGGCAGTCCAGATCCTTTTGTTAGAATCAAACAAGACCAAGACCGTTTTTAAAACAAATTGATGAGCTGGAGAGAAATCTGCAAACGGCTCCTTAATTAGCAAAGGTCTGATTGAGGCGCCTGAGGCAATTTCCTCCTGGATTTCACTTCTTTCTTCCCTTCTTATCCACTCCTCCCCAACACAGACTCCCACAGCACTCTAAATTCTTAAAAATGTTTTGTAGCTCTACTAAGGTCCAAATATCAGAGAAAGTTGGAGGATGGGTCTGGATATGTTTCTGCTGCATGTCTTACGCCTTTGACACTGTTCAAAGATAGGAATGAGGACAGAGATATGAGGATACTCAATATGGGATCCTACTCTCTGGCTCCTCAAGATGTAAGCTAGGGGCTGTAGAAGGTGGAGGCAGCCCAGGAACTGCACCCCACCCCACCCCACCACCATTCAGTTTTTCCCTCTCGTGTAGTCCTGAGTGTGAAGCATGGTGGGGTGCACGGCTGGGCAGATATCAGGCCCTTGACAAGTTACTACAAGTATTTACACACCCATTCACACACACTCCTAAAGCAGGTAGAGGGCCTCCTCCACTCTCTGGGCAGGTCCTCTGCTTCTGTGGTCCCAACTCCTCCACAGGCTCGGATAAAAAGCTTGGCACGCACCTCTCGGCCAGAGTTGCATTCCCTCTTGAGGCATCCCAGCACAGCCTACTCACGAAGACAAGAGGCTCGGCATGGGGTAGCAGGCTGGATGCCCGCTCTGGGAATGAGAAGGCGAGGATCAAAGCCGCCAGGAGGGTTCGTTAGCTGGATTTCTCCGAGTCCCTGGGGCGTCCTAATTGCGCTCCCCGCAGCCTCACGCTCGCAGGCTGTCCTGCCGTGCAGGCACCGGGCCTACGGCTTTGGAACAGCTGCTAGGCCCGCGTAGCATCCGCCCACCCGCTGGACACTGGGGACCCTGGCTGCCCCAGGAGGAACACTAGGAGAAGGAGGAGGGGCGGACAGACTCAGTTCAGCTGGGGCTGCCAGGAGGCCCGGGCAGCAAGGAAAGTGGCCGCTCACTTATCAATCACCAACAACCTACGACAGACTTTCTTCCGCGGCCTCGCGGGCTGCTCTGAAATCATCCACTTAAAAATAAAGAAAACCACACATATAAATAACGGCTCAGAAGAGGCCAGCATGAAAAATGGAGCTGTTTTTATACAAATCAACCCGACACGTCTTTACAGATTTTATAAATTCCTAATATCCCGGAAAGAATTTTTTTTCCTAAATCAAATCGGTCACTTCATCATAGTACATTCTGCCTTAGTAAAATCAGCTCCCTTGGATTTCATCACTTGTTAAAAAAAGATAAACTTTATTTTTGTAATTTTCAATCACAAAAAATCTATATTTTTGTCTAAGCATTTATTTTACTGAATCAAAAAGACATGAAAAGAAAAATCATGTTTTACTAACGTATATAAGTGACTCTTTTTTGGACAACATATAATAAATATGATATATCACTTATCACTCAGTCTTTCAAATGTACATTTTTCTTCATATTATGGAGCATGCCACTTTTCCAAAAGAAAAAAGGTCATGAGAAATCAGTGCAAAGTTCTCAGTTACCCTCCTCTTTTCTCTGGGGCAGGCGGAATGTCCACAGCAACGCCCTCCGCCTCAGAAGTTGAGGCGGTTTGTCCGTCTACAATTCTCCGCCTGTGCAGTTTCCTCTCCATGCCCTTGTTTCTTTCCTCCTTACCCCTCCCCCCCTCCCTCCTGCATGTCCCTAAAGTCATTTTTAAAAGAACTTGAGGTTTTGTTTTTGTTGATGTTTTCACTTACTGATCGCACTTTGTGTGGGGTCAGCGTTTTCACCAGTCACACTGCAGTGGGGGAGCTTTCCAGCCCTGTCTCTGGGGGTGGGGAGAGGGACAGCAGAGTGCTGGCTCCTCTCTGGGGGCCCCGCCCATTGGTGAGTGTCTTGCTTTCTCCCTTCGTGGCTTCCCAGGTCCGCTGCCAGGGAGGCCGGTCGGCCCGGTGCGGGGAGAGAAAGGACAGCAGTCCGAGTAGGGGAGGGAATGGGAGAGGGACTGCAGCGCTGTCCTGGTTCTTGTCCTTCACCGGGGGTGCGGGGTGCCTGGAATGGGGTTGGACAGGGGGTTGAGAGCGGGCTGTGCCCCGGGCCCCAGACCGTGGATGAGCACGCGGGGCACCAGGGGCCGCTGCAGCGGGGGGTGGGGCGCAGGAGGAGTCCGGTACATGCTGCTGTACATGGCGGCGGCCGCTGCGGCTGCGGTAGTACTGTCCATGCTGCCCAGGAGGCTGGGATGGTAGAAGTAAGGCGACGGAAACATCCTCTGCAGTGCCGAATAGTTCCCTGCCTCCGCCAGCAGCTCCAGGCCCACCGCGGTCTGCCGCTTCCACTTGGTCCTGAAAAAAAGAGGACATGCACGCACCCCGCAGCTGTGGGAATGGTCCAGGCGCCAAGGCCCCTCCTCTTGCCCTCTCCGGCCTTCTCTCCCTGGAGGACAGGAGGCCGAGAGAGCTCCGAGAATAGGAATCTTCTGCACCTCGCATCCCAACACCACCCTCTTGCTCACAGAGTGACCAAAAGCCAAGTGGATTTCATAAATGACACTTTCGATGTCTGAGAATTCACAAATGAAATTCTACAGCTTTGCTGCCTCTTCCTGATCCTCTGCTCGCGGGTTGCCGCCACCCCTTATAGTTTGGCTACCTCCCAAAACTTTCTTGAAGGCCAACTAAGGCCACTCTTTCTATGGGTGATCCACTCCCTCCTCCTCTAATTCCTTTCCCCATTGAGTGGCTCCCCAACAATCCCAGAGTGTCTCTCTGCCCCTCCCCCCTCCCCTTTCTTGAGGCAGAGAGAGAAGAAACGGTAAACAAAGGGACACAGAGATTCCTGGGCCTTGGACCTGGCCCCTCTCAGTCCTCGGGGCTGTGGGGACACATCTCTCTCATCAGCCTGACAGGACCTTACAGGAGGCAGGGGGCTTAGGCAGAGGAAGGTAGCAAGGTTTCCAAACGGAATTCGTTTGTGGGAGTGCTCTCCCAAGGGGTCAGTACCTCCGGGCCATTTCGGGAGGGGAAAAATGCATTTCAAAATATTTTCTCCTCAGGGACAGAGTAACAATTAAAATCTGTGATCAGCTTTTCTCAGTCTCCTCTCTGCCCCACTGCACTCTCCTTAAGAACAGAAGGAGAAGAGGCTTTTGCTCAAATGCCTTATAAAGGAACTCAAGACTGGTAGGCCATCCATACCCGGCAGCTCCAGCCAAATTAATAAACGTGTCGTCCATTTTAAATTGGCTACAAATGACACTAATGTTTTCCGACAGAATTAGGGTGGCTGAAACCGTATGTAATGAGACAGAAAATTATGGTAAAGATGACAACTGGATGGGCATTTCCAACTGCACTTATGGACGATTAGAACACAAACGAGAGAAAAGGAGGGGGAGAGAAAAATCCAGACAAGGGAGACACCTATCTGGATTGGAAACACAGTATAACCTCGGCCTCAGTTTGTCTGGGTTTCCTCTACAGTTCAGGGACCTTGCAAGCTCTGCCAGCCCCTTTCCTAATTTCCTATGAGGTTCCTGGTGGGCTCTGAGGCAGCCAGAACAGGGGACAGATGCTCAGTATGGATGCCTAACCAGATGCTGATTCATTCTCCCGCCTGCTGCTGTCCACCCTACCTGTCCTGGCCACCTCACAGGCCAAGGCAAAGACATTTAAGTCAAAGCAGTGGGGCAGTTCTTCCAAGACCAAAATAGCTAGGCTCTATGGCCAGCTGCAGACATTTAGAACCAGTGTGCGGCAGGCCCAAAGGGCACACCTTGCAGGCTCCAGGAGCCTGAGTGTCAGCTGCACAGATGTCTGATTTTGAGAAGGTGTGGCTTGACTGATTTTGGGGCAAAGTGGGGGGGGGGGGATTCCAGCCAGTCAGATTTGAGAGGGAAAGTAGCACATGTTAAGACACTTAGAAGTGCAAAATTTTCTAAACTTAAGCTGCCTACGGAGAGCTCGCACCTTGGGGGAGTGGCTAATCCTTGCCCCTGCTTGAAAGTCCCCAAGTGCCCACTCTAAGCCCTCTGAATCCCCAGTGTCTCCCAAGGCCAGGAGGGAAGAAGACTAGTGCTATAGTCATGACCCAGATGGTGAGATGCTTTGCTCCCCCACAGAGCCTCCCTTACCTGCGGTTCTGGTACCAGGTCTTGACCTGGGTGTCAGTGAGGTTGAGTGAGGCAGCCAGGTCCATGCGGTCCTGCACACTCAGGTACTTCTGCCGCTCAAAGCTACGCTCCAGTTGATTGAGTTGGTGGTCAGAGAAAGCCGTCCTGGCTTTGCGTGGCTTTTTGGCTCTCACAGGGGGACTCTCTCGGCTACTTGTAATCTCCCGGTCTCCTTCCTCCTTTGTTCCTATGACAGAAACCCAGGCACAGCTCAGTAAACTAGCCTGGAATAGGGAAAGATGGAGTGTCCTCCTGGCACACATTTCCACATTCCCAAGCCAGCTGCTAGTCTCTAGGGACTATACTATGCCACCCTCCTCACACACACACTTGGACTTCAGCCAGTATGGAGAAAGTGGACTAATTTCTATCTAGAGAGTATGGAGCCTTGTGTGGAGCTCCTTAAAAGAGTTCTAAAAGAGTATCTGATCTCTCCGCCTTTGAAACTGAAAAAGAAAAAATACTTTATAATAAAGGGTCTTTTTGTTACTGTTTACTTACTGGAAGGGTGGGGAGACCCTATCCATTTGCTTTATTGTTTTTCACTATGATTTCCTCCTTTTTTTTTTTAAATTCAGTAGTTTTCAAAAGATCTTTCTATTTTGTTTCTTTTTTTGAGGAGGGGGCACCTTTTTCATTTTACTTTTTCTGTTTACTCAAAGTTATAGGCATTTGTTTTCCTTTATCAGGTACACTTGGGAAATGTTGGAATCAAGGTCTCTGCAGCTGCTTGCATCACGTTTTGCAAAGCTTCCAAAAAAATATGTCACCCAGACACCGAGCTGAGCTCAAAATCACTGAACCCATTCAGGTGACAGCCCAGAGATTTCCGGATTCCATTTGTCAACTTTGGTTTTTTACTGAAATGCTGGGAAATCGATATGTCAATCCCTCTCTGTTTGTACCCGTTTTTTGCTGCGCTCCTTGATCTTCCCTGCAGGAAGAACAATAATCTCTCTAATTGACCCACTGGGGAGGTTGGTGCACAAAAAATCACCAGACCAGACTGTACATCTGTTTTGGGCACTATTATGCTAATGTTGTAATAGTAAAATGAGGAGCCAATATCCTACCTTCCGGACAGTCCGCGCACATCTTTCCCAGAGATGGCAAAGATTAATAATAATAACAGTAATAGTAATGGTAATAATAATAGACCACTTAATAAAGAAAAAACGAACTTTCCTGCTATGTTGAAATGTGTTTGTCGTAAAGACCAGAACACTTATGAAACTGTCTGAACAATGTGAAAAAGGGAGTTGAAGGACAATTTCAATTGCCATCTTCTGATTTTACAAAAAATAGATAAATTCAATTCCATAAATTTTCCTTTCATAAGTGCTATGTCTCGATTACTTGTAAGGAGCCAGAAATTTTACTAAAATGCAGATATTCATGGGGCCCATGGGGCCATGGGGTAAGAAGGGTTTTTAAAAAATACTGAAAACCTGATTACAAATTTTTATCTTGTGGACTTCCCTATATTAACCAGGGTCTAATTTTCAAGAAGTTGCTCTGTTAATCGACTCAGAAATTTTTCCTTCATTAAGTCTGATAATTCCTGTGCTGTTGTTTAGAAAATATGGTGTGTAGGGCGAATGAAATAATTTTCATTAAAGAGTAAGTACCATGTTGTGATCACACCCCAAGACACCACGCTAGCTAAGCCTGTTCCTCCCACGTTTCCCTATTCGCACTCACCAGGTCTCGGCTTAAAAACATCTCGAGTCCTTGCCTTTTATCAACGAAAGTATTTCCGGTCAGATACCCTCGCCGCTGGCCCTTTCCTAACAAATTAAAATTAAGTAAAACGAAGAAAGGACGTGGATGTCGGTGTGGGTTGAGAGGTAGAAATGTAACAATAAGCAGAACTTCGGTCGAGTCTTCAGTCTCGAAACCGCACGCCCAGGCCTCCCTCCCGCCTGCAGTTTTTAGTTGCGGAGCAATTGCCTTAGAAGGTGCCGGAATAACTCCCCATCAGAGAGATCTGCGGGAGACTGAAGGGGTGACAGGGAACCAGCAGGAGAAGCTAGACGGCTGAGGCTGAGGGGGCCGAGGCGGCACGACTCACCGTGGCATTTGATGTCGCTCTGGGAATCTTCCCGCTTGTCGAGTTTGGTTTTGCTGTCCTCCTGCTCCAGCTTTGGTCTGAAGCTCTCGTGCGCTGCGTTGCTCTCCTGCTTCGGGGTGTGGTGAGGAGAGGACACGCTGGTGCTGTAGGGTGCACACGCCGCCAGAGGTTTGCTGTCGCCCAGGATGTCTTTAATTAAAAAAGAAGAGGTGGAAGTCCTGGGGGCCGAGGCCGCCGAGCCCAGCTGCTGAGCCGATGGCTGCGGCGGCGGCGGCTGCTGCGGCGGCGAAGGCTGCAAACTTTGCGTTGGGGCTGCGGCTGGTGGCGGCGGCTGCTGGCTGTGGTGGAGGTGGTGGTGATGCTGGGGCCCGTCTGCTACCAGATGCGTCTCCGGAGGCTCCATGGTGACAGAGATGGGAGAGGAAGGCGCCGTTCCTACCGTATCAATCTCTGAACAGGGGGATGGAGTGGCCTGATTTCTAAAATCCGCGGTCCTAGTCTCTCCGAGTGGGCGGAAATCTCCATTCATCATGCCGGGGCTGCCCGAACTGGCACTGGACAAAATCGTGTCTATTCCAAAACTCGACCCGCTGGCCCCTTCCATTGTTGTCATTTCTACATGAGGTCCACGCCACTCCGCCGCTCAGCAGCCGCCCCGACCAAGCAAAGAAAGCTATTGATCGTAAAATGAACACTAAACAATGTTGTTGCCGCTTAAAAAAAAAGTGGGGAGGGAGGGAGGGAAGGATTATTGGGAGGTGACAATCGGTGGACAGTTTCGACACAACTTTTTCCCCTTATGCAAAAAGTAAGGATGGCAAGAAAGGAAGACTGGGGGAAAGTTACAGAAATTGTTGAGGAAGCACGGAGCTCGCGCTCCAGGAACGACCGCGCATGTGGGCGGCGGTGGAGGCGGGGGCGTCAGGAGGTGACCCCTGAGGCTGCTGCGCCGCCTCTGCCGCCGCCGCCTGGGTCGCTCACAGCCTGGCACCAGGCGGCAGCGGAGGACGTGTCAGGTGCAGCGACCCCGAAGCCCAGGCGGCTGCGCGCCCTCAGAGCTGCCCGGCGGCTCCCCGAGGTGGCTGTCGCGTACGACTTAACCGCCCCAGGAGCCGAGTTTCTGAACTTTCTCGTAAAGTTGTGGAGCAGACAACGCCGCAGTGTTCGCGGCCACAAGAGGAGGAGGAAGAGGAGGAAACGAAGGAGCAGGTGCAGGCGGAGAAGACGGCGGAGACGCGGCGCCGTGTGACTCCGGCGGCTGCCCGGCGCGTTCGCTTGTAATCCGGCTGCTGGCGGGCGGCGCCGACCCCCTCCCGTGACGTCACGGCCACTGCCGCTGTTCGCCGCACCGCGCCCACGCCGCCCGGGCTGCGCGCCGAGCCTTGCCGCCCCCATTGGCCGCGCCCTTGCGAGCAAGCGACGCCGACGTGCAGGGAGCCAATGGCTGAGCGGCTCGTGAGCTTGTCAGCGGTCGCGGGTCGGGCTCCTCTGCTCTTTTGAGAAGCCGCAGATCTCTTTGCCCGTGGCCGGAGGCCCAGCGCCCAGTCTTACAGTCCGTGGCCCCTGTCGGGAGGGAGGGCGAAGGGAGAGAAAGAGAGCAGAGGGAGACTGGAGAAGGGACCCTAAGGGATGAAAGACAGAACAGTAGGGGTTCGCCCGTGTTCGTACACCCGAGCGGGGGAGGGAAAGAGTGGGGGAAGTGAAAAGCAATCCGGTCGGCTTGCCTGTTCAGCTTTTCGTGCGGCCTCCCGCGCAGCCTCCTAAACACGCGCGTGACTAGTCTGAGGGCCCTGAGAGCAGAGGAGGGGGTCCCTGAAGGAACCCACGCGGAAGTGTGTGACTCCAGCAGCCCGAACTCCGGCCGGCCAGACGGACTTCTTGCTCGGAGTTCTCCCCGAAAGAGCTCAGGCGCCGGGCGCCGACCCAGCTCTGTCTCGGGGCCCCGAGGGTCCGCGTCCTCGGGAAGGGCTGGGGAAGGTTGGGGAAGCGGCCTGCTGCTCAAACCCAGGGACCCAGTCCAGGCACCAGTCAGGGCCTGTGACGGAGGAAATGCCAGACACTTTCTCCCGAGCAGGGGAGTCGAAACCCCCAGGAGCTCTGTTGCTGCAGCAGCGCGGGCGGCCGCGGCTCTGGCGGCGTCAGGCTGCCGAGGGCTCGGAAGCTGGGGTGGCGGGTCCGCGGCGGCCCTTTCGCCACGAGCCAGTTTTCAGTGTTCTCTCCCCGCCCCCTCTGCCCCCTCCCGGTCATTCGGAAAGGAAGCGGTCACTGTGTATCCACTGGGGGCCCTGGAGCACGGCTCGACTGTGACGCCTCGTCGAGGGTATCAACTCGCATTATTTTCTCCAGGACGTCTCCAACCTGTCTCTTGTTGAATGTCAGAGTAATGGGAAGTGCCAGTGACAAGACGGCGTATTACTCCTGATTAAGTGCCGTGTCAACCTAATTAGCAGAGTAATTATAAGGTGCTAATGAATGATTCAAAGTTCTTTGAGTTACATTTTACTCCAAATTACCATTTTAAGAACCCTATGAATCTGAGTGGCTGGCATCACTTCCGTGACTAGGTGCAGAATGATGGTATAAAATGGTCTTTAATGTCTTCAAGGGCTGGGCGGAAATCTGGGCTTTAGATGCGATTCTGAAGCTCACTTTCTGGGGAGCAGCTTCCCCTCCCCCAATCAGGAGCAGAAGTGGGGGTGGGGGTCAGGGAGGCAAATGACCTCTTGGAGCCAGATACAGCTTTGCTGTGGGCGCTGGATCCGCGCGGGCCCTGATCCGGAAGGGGGTGCGTGGGGGATTCATCCTCCCCGCGTTTTCCCAGAGATTCGATACTTTTGACCCAGGAAAGTCCCGCACTATTTCAAGTGTGTGTGGAGCTGTTTCTTATCTTCTTTGTGCCGTTCCCCCCCCCCCCCACCCACCCCGGGGTCTGTCTCTGAGGAGCTCTGTGGGGAAGACCGAGGCCAGGACATGTACACTTCGGGCCCCTCTCTTATTTTCTCGGAAAGCGAGGGGAATTTGGTGAGGATCCAGGGTTGGTGAGCCACGGCGGGACGCGGCCAGCGGAAGCCCCTCTGAGGGCCGCGGGAGCCTCGGGAGCGCGTGAGGGGCGGGCGGGCGGGCGGGCGGGCTGGGGCCGAGCCCCTCTGGGCCGGGAAGCCGCGCAGGGCCGGGAGGAGGCCTGGAGCGGGCTTGGCCCCTTCTGGGAGCCTGCGGGCCTCGGCCTTCGGGCCAGCTGGGACTTTAGAACCCGGGGCCTCGGTCTTCCGAGGGCGCCTGTCTCGTCTGAGGCCGAAATTGGCGCTCTTCTCACTCAGACTTTATCCACCAACTTCCCAAACGAGGCGCGCTTCCTCGCAAACCTGGCGCTCCAGCCTGCCCTTCCCTCGCAGACTATTCTGGGTGGGAAGTCGGGAGGAGGAAAAACATTTAAGATCCAGAACTGACGGCATTGCACAAGTCACTTATTCTCGACCTTCATAAATAATTTATTTAAGCCTGTTTTTGTTTTGTTCTGATGTCTAAAATGACTCAAGAGCTCAAAAAACGGGGCGCACAGCCTGTGTTGGGCCGTTCGGCCGGATTTTTTGCTTGGAATAATTCACAGCATTACCAGAAGAGACAGAAATACGTCCCTATGGAAAAATGAAAGGGAGAAGCGAAGTGAAAGTGTTAGGGGAAAGGGGGGTGTTCGATTTTATGAAAACTCTAAAGCAAACAAAACAGAAGTTCTGCCCAGTAGGCCCCACTTTATGAATGGTTCAGATCGTGATTTCTTAAGAAAAGGTTAAGATGATGGAAAAGTTCTTTGGGTGGGATGTTTGATCAGCTTTCCAGAGCAACAATTGCGAGGGGAATGCAGGACCTTGACTTTTACCAAGGCCAGTCTCGCCAGAGAGGAAGTGCTACTAGTGGCCTGAAGACCTCAAAGAGGGACTGGAAGACTAAAACTAGGTTAAAAATGTAATGAAAAACAAATTCTTCAGAGGTGGAGTTTTGTTACTTAATTTTCCACAGTTCTCCTTTCTATAGACACGTTCCTCTTTTGCCATTTTTTCCCTGAGAATATATATATAGAGAGGGACAAATGTAGAATTTAGTTTATCCTTGCATTATTATTTATTAATTATTGTATTATTTTCCACATGAACAATTGTAAACCTACTTTTGCCCCACACTGTATGTGCACCCAAGCAAACATAACTAACTTTTCATTTTAAAAAATCAAAACTCAGAAATGGAACAGAGTGCAGATTAATCACATTTTCAATTCCCATGTATGGGAAAAGAAATGTACTGACTGGATTTAATCAGATTTTTCCCCCCACTGGATTTAAAATACAAATAAATATAGCCCCTAAATTGACATAAGTCTGAAAAGTGTCTTCCACTTTCAGGACTTAATTTCCTTTGAAATAAGACAAAGGGAAAAAGAAAATTTTTTAATTTTGGAATATTTTAGAATTTTTGCATAGAAAGCAGTTATTTGCCAACTGTGGATAATAGAGAACGGCATTTCCTTCCTGGCTTTGAAAGACATGTGAGTCCTGATCACTAAAGATGCTCCCTCCCCACCACAGAGACAGTTTCAAAGACTTGTGTATTTTAACAAGTTTTGTTTCTCAGTACACTCTCTCAGAGGCTCACTTTTACAGCCTCGATTTGGGGTTATGTTTAAACTGGAACATCAGGTTTTTAAAAACAGAACTGAACTTTGAAGAAATTCACCTATAGATGATGAAGTACTTTGAACTGGAGTTTCTTCCTATTACATTTTATTTGACCGTTTCCAACGGTCCACAGGATGACAATGCCAATTGACCTGCATGGGGTGCAAAAGCGCTTGTCTCCACTGGGCGGCGCCAAGAACCCCAAACCCAGAAAGCCGGCTATTGTTTCTTTCTATATAAAGGATGCATGACACACAAGTTGTCCCTTTCCAAAGCTGATTCCCCGACTATAGTGTGACTTCTCGCATTTTCAAAGCTACAGAAACGTCGGACATTTTCTTTCTTTTCCCCCCAGTCTATCAATATATCTCCAACTAAGGGCTTGATGTATATTTGCTTAGAAAAATGATGTAATGAAGAGAAAGACATGAAAACACTGAAATTGAGTTACCTAATAGGCTGAAACCAGGAGAGTGGAGGTTGGGAGCAGGGGGAGGAGGGTAAAGTGAAAGCAAACAAATAAGGTAAATGAAAACTGGTTTAACAGAACAACAGGTTAAAATGATAGTCTATGCAATTATTAATTGTTCTAGGGAAATAAAGGGTTCGCAAGATCGTTTTGGTATCATAATAAAACTTGTGAGAGCTATGCGTTTCACCACAACTTAACAGATCAACAGTTTGGAAGAGACTTAGCTAAGTTGGCTCTCCCTTGGGGGTTAGATGTGGGTTGTACCTAAGCAGTCAGCATGAAGGCAAGTAAATATGTAGACAAAAGAATGCTAAAAGAGGGAGTTTTAGTCTTATTTTTGCCACTTTTCAATGTTCTTGAACAAGGCACTTAACCTTTCTGATCACCAACTTCCTTCTTTATTAAAGGGGTGAAACCTTGCCTAGAAAATGGTGCTGTGGTAAGTAAACAAGACCTGCTATGTAAAAGCTCTCTACAAAATGTGAAGCAAGAGTTTGACAAACAAACAAC